TTTTACTTCTTCAATAAATGAATATTATTAGCTTTTGAGGGGGTTAACTTTTAAGGAGTTGCCTTTTAGTTGGCTTATATATTAAACTCTTAACCAAATTAAGCCTCCTTCAAATGACTGCTTAGTCTGCTTTCTGTTACTTTGATAGAACACCAGTTTGGGTAATTTATAAAGGAAAGAAATGTATTTACTATAGTTTGGAGTCTAAAACACCAGTATAGAGGTGCTGTCCACCAGTGAGTGCATGCCTCCTTGCCACATTATAATGCAGTAGAGTGCATCATGTGATAAGAACAAGGGAACATGTATGCTCAGCTGTCCCTTCCTTTTCCTATAAAGCTGCCAATTCCACCAAGAGGGTACTTCCCTCATGAACTCACCTAATGCTAACTGCCTCCCTGAGTGTCCACCACTAACTACCATCAACATATGCATTTGAAGACTAAGTGTGTGGGAAATTCAAACCATTGGAAGTAATTTCTTGAGCATCAGCAAATGTCTACACACACACACACACACACACACACACACACACACACACACACACACACACACGCTTGAATATTTTCATTTAAAACACAAACAAACCCTGTCTGTATGTGTCACCCAGAGAAATAGTGTGTGTGTATGCATTTCCATTATTACCTCTCATTTTTAGTCATCTTAGACCCTCAAAAAGGTTAGCTGGATAGGATCTCTCTGAAAAATTCATCTCTTAGGTGTTTTATATGGTCTAAACATCAGCAAGCAGTGGCTGAGAGTGCATATTCTTCTTTCAGAGGACTCAAGTTCATTTCCCAGAACTCATATTGAGTGGCTCATAGCCAGCTGTAATTCCGGTTCCAGGGTATCTGATGCCTTCTCCTGGACTCTGCAGGCACCTGCACTCATATGTGCCACATATAGACACATAATTTAAAAAATAAAAATAGATAACTCCAGTTCTAGGGTATTCAATGCCCTCTCTATGTCTCTGCATCCACCAGGCATGCATGTGGTACACATACATATGTAGAGGCAAAACATATGCATATATATAAAATAAAACAAACAATTTTGAAAAACAGAATAAAAAGTAAATCTTAAAAAATAAAACATTCTAGAAATTCATGGGAAACAGCAAAATAAAACTGCTAATGTTACAAGAAAAAATTTAATACAATTTGAGGCATGTGCATTATATACTATAGCATATGTAATATGAGATAAGTATGATATGTATTATAAATCTATTATAATCTATTTAGTTATGTTTGTAAAACTCACAAGAATTGGTTAGAGTCTCTAAAGTTTAGTTATAATGTTTAATTCTTCTTTAGGCACATTTGCTGGTGCCCTAGGTCAACTAATATTATTGTACTTTTCTGTGGAGGTGTCTAAGTTGCTACACAAAGTAAAGTTTGGATTAGGAATTAATGAATAAGACAATAATCAAATGATAGATTTTTTTGTTTGTTTTGTTTTTCAAGACAGGGTTTCTCTACATAACAGTTCTGGCTGTCCTGGAACTCGCTTTGTAGATCAGGCTGGCCTCGAACTCACTGAGATCTGCCTGCCTCTGCCTCCTGAGTGCTGGGATTAAAAGTGTGTGCCACCACCACTTGGTGATATCTTTCTTATTATCTGTGTCACATTCCAGTCTGCACTGTATGGATTTAATACAGTATAGCACTTCATCACCCTGCTACACATGTTATTTTTATATTCTACCAAGGAATCACATTTTTGTAATAAGAACTGTTACCTAAAGCATCTTACATAATTCTTGCCTAACAGAAGAGGCCATACACGAACATACTTGAATATGTTTGATTGCACATTCATCATGCAGTTGGACATGTTCCTTATTTCTCTGAATTCTAACCCAGTGAGGTACAGCTAAGAGAAACAGCCTGATGTGTGATTATAACCATACTCTGGCTCTTCAGCCTGGTGATTTCAGAGTCTTTCCTAAATTATAATGCACTAATAGAATACTTTTCCTTAAAAATTTATTTACAAGACATTTGTTTTCAAGTCAAGAATTTATTGCAAGAACAAGGCAAGTTCAAACTGGCCCACTGAAACGGCTTGGGGGGTAAATTCTGAATGGTGTTCAGGACGCAAGGCTGGGTATTTGGTGGAAATCATATCTAAGACAAGTTGCATTGGAAGCTATTTAACATAAATGTCTTCTTATAAAATATGTTGCTTTTTCCATTCAATTGGGAAATTATATAAAACTTAAAAATAATTAGTCTAACTCATTCTGGGTTTTGTTTCTGTTTTTGTTTTTGTTTTGTTTTTTTCAGGAGCTGAGAGGGTGGGTCAGTTATCCTGAGGTTTTTAATGTTTTGTGGTATAAAGACAATTTTTCTTTACTTTTGAAATTCAGATCAGACCATGGTTTAAAACGTTATATTCTGACAGTTTATGATTTGTCCTTGAGTGAAAGCTTGTGCCGCCCGCTCTCTGGTTTGCTGTGAGTGCTGACGGAGAGGACTGCAGACAGATGGGCCGTGAGGAGTCTTTGTCTCCATTGGCAGCTCTCGTGCGACCTTAGTGTAGTAAATGGGTCTCAACAGCCTAGTTATAAACTGTTGCTGATCATGCAAGGAATGCAACCTGGAGCACAGCATTTGGGGAGCAGAGGAGACTGTTAAAAGCCAGAGCCAGACTGTCTGGGGAGATGCACTGAAGGCAGGGAAGAGGAGCAGACACCGATCAGGCCCCGAGAGTCAGATTCTCATGCCTTGAACAACATTGGCTCATTTCAACCTACGTGCTATGTAGTTGACACTGTCTGAACACTATTAACCCATTATTCCTATTGTTGTTCAACTCTAATGAGGTGAACTCCTATGGGAGTGATTTTTAAAGCTGGGGATGGAACCTGGGCCTTTGCATATGTGAGGCAAGCTCTCCCACTGAGCCACATCTGTACTCTCTAATAATTATATTCTAAAGATCAAAGGGGGACACCCATTCCCTTCAAAACTCTCTTATGAACTGCAGCACAGATTTTCACACGAATGACTTCTGCTTCTTAAAGAAAACTAAATGATGACTCTTATTTACTAAAGAGACCAAAGGAGTCCCAAGGGTGCCTAGAACTTCAAAGTGGGCTCTCTGTAGAAAAATGTTTTTTGAGATAGGTTCTATGTACCCTTGACTAGCTTAGAATCACTACATAGTACAGGACTGGTCTTAAACTCTTGGCAATCATTCTGCCTCTGCGCCCAAGTCCTAGAACTATAGGCACGTCCAGCTCAAAACTCCTGTCTTTTAAATTACTCAGTGAGTTAACAATTCTCTTCTTAACACACTTACTTCAGCAAGAGTACACATTTTGTATTGAATATACATTTCTGAGCTTAGAGCCCTTTTCAGGAGATTTTTGCTGTTGCTGTTATCCAAGAAAGAATAAGTTTGGTAAATACTGTGTTTGCAGTCAGGCTCTACCACATCAACAGGCTATTAAGTATTTATATCAAGTGACAAGAATTCCATTTCAAGCAAATATTCTTGAATTTTACCTTAATAAAAAAATCTTGTCTTTGAAGTTTTGTTTTTGTTTTTGTTTGGTTTTTAGTTTTTCAAGACAGAGTTTCTCCATGTAGTTTTGGTGCCTGTCCTGGATCTCACTCTGTAGACCAGGCTGGCCTCGAACTCACAGAGATCCACCTGCCTCTGCCTCCCAAGTGCTGGGTTTAAAGGTGTGCGCCACCACCACCCAGCGTCTTTGACGTTTTAATCTAGAACATGGGTGAGGTTTCTCTTGCCTTTAGATAACAGTGGCTCCTTTGTATGAACCATATAATTTTCCTTTGAAACAGTTTGTAACTAATGGCACAAATCAAGTACTGTACAACTGTAATCAAGTATGGAAAGACTCTCTCGCACACTTCATTCCTGTACCCCTCTCCTAACACCCTGTACTCTGCATATGACCTGGCGAGGGTTTTCCATCAGTGGTGCTCAGCTCTTGTTGGTTGTCTAGGAGAACAGATTAATATTAATGCTGTGGTGATCTAGTGCCAAGGTCACTGGGTGACCCTAACAAAGGTTAGTTTTGCAATATGTATGTCAGTGTGTTATTTGATATGAGCAAGGAAAGTTATTCTGCATATTATTCTTTAACACATTTATGAGCAGGCACCGTACTTTATCTGATTTTTTAGCCAGTCTGTAATGGTTGTCTAAAACTACATGACTAAGCCTGAAGGTTTTGGAAGACCAAGCTAAAGTGAGTATGCGACATGAATTTGTAATAAAGTATCAGAGGACTAGAGATTGTGTCATGATGAAATCAGATCTCAAGAGGCCACTATCCTCGTCACTACTGCCATATCGAATAATAACTAGATACAATGAGAAACTGTTCATCATAGGAATACTATTAATGACAGGGCTTGCTTTTTTATTAAAATGTAAGAATACAAATAGCTTATACCAGTAAAATACAGTAGCATTCAGGCTCTAATATCAACATTAAATCAAAGCCTATGGACAGAAAAGAGACTTAAGAGATGCAGGTGAGGGGAAGGAAATAGCTTGTCACTCTAGATTACAGAGAGCTGCCACAGGCAAAAAAAAATAATAATAAAAATGGCAATTAATTTCATTGCAGTACTTTAATGTTTTGAAGAAAACTTATGAAAAATACAGATTTTTAAAAATCTTACATTTTGGATAGATAGATAGATCATCACCTACCTTTCTAACAACAGTAGGAGCAAACACAATTGAAAAAACGCATGGTACTTGGGCTGTGCACTACAACAGCATGGACTGAATGCCCTGGCACACTCCTACTTTGAAGGTAGATTGTGGCATGGAAGTTATGTCAGGTTGGTTCCAAAATGCAATACTGGGTCCCAGGCCAGAGCTGCTGGGCTGTGCCCATTTTGGCCCAGCTTTTCCAGCCGTGAGAATATAAATCACAAAGAAAAAAATGTAACCAACCATTCATTTGAGATAGCAAGAAAGGAAAGGAAATCAGTTTTGTAAAAACACTTTTCCCTCTTTTTTAAGCTTCTTTATTTACTCCGGATAGTTAACAAAACAGTGCTCAATAGTGAAGTAAGCAGATTTTACACTCACTATTACTGTATGGATAGAAAGAGCCATGTGCATTTTTGTTTGTATACATCATCTCAGATCACTGTGTTATGGCACTCGAGAACAGACTCAGAGGCACAAAGTTAATAAATACATTTAACACTGTCAAGCATTCAAAAGATAAATGCAATCAAATAGCAAAAAAAAATTCCGTTTGTATCTTTGACCTTTCCAAGGCTGTGGAGAATCTTTTCACATGTCAGAAATCTCTATAGCAAAGATTCCTATAATAGAAAAAAAAAGAGATTAAGGTTTTAAATGAAATAACTTCAGCATGTGTAAAAAGGATATATTATGATTACTTTAGCAGTGCTTGGGGTTTCCCCTCAGCTTCTGTGAAGGGAAATGGATATAGTGAATTTGTTCATAAACCATGGCATATTCATGCTGTGGAATACTACTGTAACATAAAAGGAAAGAAATACTGAGATGGACAACTTGGATGGTTGTCATGACCATTGTGCTGAATGAAAAAAGTCAGTTTCAAAGGTTGTGTTCTGTGCATGACCGGATTTGCATAGGATCCTCAAACTGACAGAATTATAGTATGGATAAGAAGTTAGTTGGCCACCTGGTAGGCAAACAGGAGATACAGATTCTAACTCTAAAGGGATGGGTACCACAAGGGAAGATTTTCTTTTATAATTAATTTTTAAGTTAATAATGGGTGTTTTCATACATACATGTTATTATGCCTTTTCTATTTGTACCCTGCCTCAGTGTCCCCCTCACCACCCCTCCCGTCTGCTGGTCCCTTTGTCCTCTAATAGGAGCCCCTTCTGCTTTCATGTCACACGTGTTCCTTTCTTCAGATCCCCTCCTAAGTAAGGTATTGGGTGCTGGTGGGACAGTATTTAGTTATTAGCAAGTGGTATATACAAAGACTGTATATGCATGCGTGCACACACACAAATGAATATACTAGGGAAATATTAATAAAGCCTATGCACTGAATTATACCAGAGATGATTTCCTGTTGGCAAGGTGCTGATGCTGTAGGAACTGGAAAAACTGTGAGATTCTCTGCCCTACTTTACAGCTTCCTCTCAAACAATAGCCATTACTTGTGGTTCATCCATACGATGGGTATTAAATATTGCTCAGCAGTTAAGAGACATGTAAGACTTTGGATAAGACTCAAAATATATTATGCTGAGACTAAGTCAGCACCAGAGGCTATATAATGTATGACAGCAGTTACTTGACAGCCTGGAAGAGATAAAACTAGTGGCAGAGGAAACAGGATTGATCTTGGGTCCTCTGGAAGAGCAGCAAGCACTCTTAACTACCTAGCCATCTCTCCAGCCTCAGGGATAACATTTTAAGTTGACATTGAAAGATGATTTTAAAGGGGGGCTAAGGGTATATTATTAACCAAAGTAACAGATAAAATACAAAACTTTCTAATATTACAAGAACCAATCAAATGGAGAAATACAGGAAACGGCATAATACAAACAGCAAACGTAGGATACTGTGATGGATTTCAGACCAAATGTAACAGTTACAGCAACAGTATAAAAATTTTTATCTCTATTAAACTTTTTTAACTTCAGCAAAATTTTTTTAAGTGGCTTATGAAGCAAAACTCAAATCAATACTTTATAAGAGAGATATAGTAAGACAGAAAGATTCAAAAACAGCTAAGTAAAGTTATTTACCAGGAAAACGGAGACAATAAGAGAGCAGGATCAGCAACCTGAATACACAGCTTTAGACAGCAGGCCAAAGAGAGAATGTAAATGTTTCCGACAAGAACACTCCATAAAAGTTACATGCCACAGGAAGGATGGCAGTTCTGAGTGCTGGTGTAGCGAACATCATCAGCAAACCACATATAAAATAATCTTACGTCAGAGCTGGCCAAGGTGAGATCTGAACACTGGTGCTGGAACGGGAACCAAAAGCAGAGAGGAAAGAGGTCACCAATGACTGATCAGCAGCTGGACCTGTGGCTGCCCAGCAGACAGATGTTCTATGTGTCCAGAAGAAAGATGAGAGCATCTCTCAGTTTTCAGCTCAGTTCAAGGGCCTGGCCTGGAAGGTGACCAACAGGAACTGCTGTTCACAAGTGATGCTGAGCTCCAGGGTGGTCCTGGTCAAGAAGATGAAGCTGGGGAGATGGCTCCATCGGGGAAATGCTTGCCTTGTAATTATGAACACTCTAGTTTGATCCCTAGAACTCAGAAAAAGCTGGGCATGGTGGTTTGCATTTGTAATCTCAGTGCTGTGGAGACAGAGACAGGAATCTCTAGGGCTGACTGGACAGCCAGTCTAAAACACTGGAGAGTTTCAGGCCAGTGAAAGAACATGTCTCAAAACAAAGAAACAGAAAAGGTGGCCAGGCGGTGGTGGCACACCCCTCTAATTCCAGCACTCAGGAGGCAGAGGTAGGTGGATCTCTGTGAGTTCAAGGCCAGGATGGTCTACAGAGTGAGTTCCAGGACAGCCAGGACTGTTGCACAGAGAAACCTTGTCTCAAAAAAAAAAAAATGTGGACAATGCCAGAGAACAACAGCAAAGACTGACCTCTAACCTCTGTATGCATTCACACAAACATGCACATGCCCACCCCTAACACACAGAAAAGTATTCCTTGAAACTCAGTCTCTTCTTAACCCAGAAGCAAGGCGTGAAGGAGTATAGCTTCTAAAGAAAGCAAGTTCTGGCCATGTGTTGCTAGCTCCTGGAGACCACCATTGCTGAACTTCTCACATTAATGTTTTATGATTAGCTATAAAGCATCTCTTAGATTAAAATCCCTAGTATCTGATGTTACTGAAAACTCTGCCATTTGAAACTGTGTTTTGTTTGGTGTGGCATGTGGACTAATTAGACATTGATATTGATAGTATTTATTCCTAAAGCTTGTTAATATATGCTAATATACTTATCAATTCCAAAATTTTATTTCTAGATTCCTTCTTATCAGCACGTACAATCCCATCATCTTTGAAAACACTAGCTCTGTTTCTGTTTCTATAAGCAGTACTCCTTTATTATATCCCTATAGACTTAAGAGAATGGATGTGTGGTGGTATTGTGTTCCCCAAAATATTGTGTACCTTAATAAACTTATCTGGGGTCAGAGAACAGAAAAGCCACTAGTTAGGCAGTGATAGCACACGCCTTTAATCCTAGCATTCCAGAGGCAGAAATCCATCTGGGATCTCTGTGAGTTCAAGGCCACATTGGAAACAGCCAGGCATGGTGACTTAATCCCAGGAAGCAAGTCTTTAATCCTAGGGAGTGATGGTAGAAAGCAGAAAGGTATATAAGGCATGAGGACCAGAAACTAGAAGCATTTGGCTGGTTAAGCATTCAGGCTTTTAAGCAGCAGTTCAGCTGAGAGCCATTGGGATGAGGACACAGAAGCTTCCAGTCTGAGGAAACAGGACCAGCTGAGGAATTGGCGAGGTGAGATAGCTGTAGCTTGTTCTGTCTCTCTGACCTTCCAGTATTCACCCCAATAACTGGCCTCGGGTTTGATTTTATTAATAAGAACTTTTAAGATTCATGCTACATGGATGTTAATGGGAATTGTTCTATTTCTGAAAATAAATAAAAAATTCTGTCCTTAAAACGTATAGGAAATACAAGAAATTAAAATACATGGCAGACTTTAAAATATCACTCACAATTTACAAAAGGCCAAGTGGACAAAAAGTAATCAAACCTACTTAAAAGATGTATGTAACACCACAAAAGTCAGGGTTTCTAATAATACTGTGCTGTAAAAAGAAACATACCTGCTTAAGTGCACATATTTGTAAAACCTGGTCATGTGCCAGGCTTTGGTGGTGCACACCTTTAATCCCAGCAGAGCCAGGTGGATCTCTGTGAGTTCGAGGCCAGCCTGGGGTACAGAGTGAGTTCCAGGACAGGCTCCAAAGCTACACAGAAAAACCCTGTCTCGAAAAACAAACAAACAAACAAAAACAAGAACAAAAAAAACTGGTCATGTATAAGACATGCAGACCACAAAGCTCATGAAACAGAAGTGATAAAGAATATTTCCTAGTCATGATGCAAAAATAGAAGAAATAAACACAAAAACTGAAACACAAAACATTCTTTCAACTGAAAATTACAAGATTTTCCATCAGTACATTGGTACAAGTGGAAACCACAGAATTTCACAAACTAACCAAAAGAAAAGCAAAACAGTTAAGACTACATGAGATCATTTGAAACAGCAGCAGAGACAAAGGAAGAATCCTAAATATCTCTACCAATTAAACAAAAGAACAGAGGTAAATGAATGAATTCTCAACCCAAAAAGCTAGCAGAAAACTCCAACAAGGTCAGAAATAACACAGGAAGGAAATAATAAAAAGAACAGGAATTAATAAGAGGGAAAATAGATCATAAGTAGTACATTAAAGCTCTGGGGTTTGAAGGGGGCTGGAGAAAACTCGGGGGTTAATACGAGTGCTGGGTATTCTTCCAGAGGACTGGGCTTTGACTCCACATGGTGGCTCACAACCTTCTGTATCTCCAGTTCCAGGGGACCTGATGCCCCCTCTGGCCTCTGCAGGCCCCAGGCACATTACTGGTACATATACATACATTCAGGCAAAACACCCATATACATAAAATAATTTTTTAATCAGGAAGGAATTTTTAATATTTCCTTTTTAGTATTTTTAGACTATTACAGAAAGCATGTTATGACCACAACTGGTCATAAAGCAGGTACCAGTGGATCATGGGGGAATAAAAGAACAAACTTAAGTTATTCATGAACTTAGTATTTGGTTAAACGCCCTCAGTACATGGGAAAAGTGGGATACAAAGGCAGAAACGATGGCCTGCAAACAGATCTTGAACTTTTTAATCCGTCTATTTACTGAACTGATGGATGCTGCAGAAATCCAGAGACAGTTTCAGACATGTTCTGGGCTGAGCAAGTGAGTCAGGAATGTTGAGAACACTGTTGGTGTTGAGCCTCAGTTCTCACAATGACATAGGGAATATACAAAATGGGGTAAGACAAGGCAGAAGTCTGTGATGATGCTTTGGAATTAAAAGTACTGGCTGCTTTTTCAAACAGAGAGAGAGAGAGAGAAAGCAGTGCGGTGTGGAAAATATAGTAGTGTAGGTAAATGAGACATTTCTATTTAAAATAAAACAAATAGGACAAAAATTCAACAATAGTGAATTGAGAGGTATTTTTACTTTTGTAACTTCATACAAATTTTAAGTTATTCACAAATAAAATTTTAAACATTTGTGAAATATAACAATAAATCTAAAATGAAAAATAGTAAACACCTTCTTATTTATTCTATGGTGCGATAGTAATTAACCCACATTTTGTAATAAATGTACATGAAAAATAATACAGACGTAAAAAGGAATTCACACTTTGACAATAGAGCATACTGGCTGGTGGCACAGTTCAGTGTACAGTGGTTGCCTAGCATGCACGAGGTCTTAGCTTTGATTCACAGTATTACACATTACAGATATTAGATAAGCCTTAAGAGTTATTTCATTTTAGTACAATATTCATATAAACCTCCTATTTATAGATGAAACCCTTTCTTCTGGATCACTGCATCTTAGTAATCAAGTTTAATATCAATCCCCTTGCTCCCTCAAATTTCACTGTGAACACTACTACCTGTGTCCAGGGTCCTGTGCACACTTACTCTTCTAGTGATCGGTCGAGGCCTCGGTCAGGAGATCGATGGTGAGCACGTTCTGGTGAGTGACATTTTGTATTTGGCTTCATTGAACTCAAATGATAAGCATTACTTGAGTAATTCTGGCGGCGAAGTTCTTGGACAGCCCTTTCCCTATAGCAAAAGAGTGATGCTTTTGAACTTTACATTCAGTGGTGTTATAAACCTATCATGAAACTGTAGCTTCACTCAAACACTAAAACATTAAATTCTACCCATCATGAAATAATAAACCCCTTACTGAGCCAGGAGAACACCTGTAACACCAGCATTCTGGAGGCTGACACAGGAGGATCAGCAGTTTGAGGCTAGCCTGAACTAGAGTGAGACTTTGTCTCAAAAAACAAACAAAAAACTCCACTTGTATGCACACAGACCTACAAAAATAAAACCTATTGTTAACTAAGAAACAACATGTGTAGGCAGAGTGTTGCACAGAGATCAACTTACCTTTCAAATCGTTCTGTCCCTAGCTGTCTTTTAGTAATGTCCAAATCTGCTTCCAACTGTGTTACGACATTTCTGAACTGAGCCACGTCTCTACTCTGGATGGCCCTGTGCAAAAGATAAGAGCAATGGTTGATTAAACTCAAATACACCTGTGACTCCATGAGTATATTAAACCATACTGGTAACGGCATCTTAGCTGGATCCAAGTCACAATGTGAGTTTGGCAAGTTATTTCATGGTGTGGTGTGTGTGTGTGTGTGTGTGTGTGTGTGTGTGTGTGTGTGTGTGTACATGTTGGCCTTGCTCCTGTCTGTGTGTGTATTGCACATGTTCAGGGAGGGCAGAGGCTGACTTGGGGTATTTTGTCCAGTCACTCCCCACTGTATTTGTTTTAGAGGGTCTCCCAACTGAACCTGGAGTCCACCCATCTGGCTATGCAGTTTGGCCAGTGTGCTTCAGGGCTCTGTCTGTTTCCACTCCCCGGTGCTGGGGTTACAGCTGCATACTGCTGCTCCTGGCTTTTACATGGATGCTGAGGATCTGAACCCAGATCCTATGCTTGCATAGCAGGCGTCTTACTGACCAAGCTATGTCCTCAGCCCTACACTGTGATTTTTATGGACAATTTTAAGGGCATGTTTTAGAAGATTCAATGTACAGTCTTGATTACTTGAAAAGCCTCAGCAATCCCAGTCCTGTTCAGTTAATCAAACCTTCTTGTCTCTGTTTCTGTGTACACAAATGGGACAATATTATGTATCATCTAGATTATTCATTTATGCAAATATTCTTCATAAATATCAGTTTCCCACGTTGGCCAGCTCCATGTCACAGTACTTAGCAGCAGTCTGAAATGGAATACATCCTCGTGGGAGTTCTGTTTCTTTCCTAAGGTGGATTTCCTCCCACCAGTCTGAGAAAGGGACCCTGAGGGACCTGCTGAAGGTATCACAACAGCCTCACTAACTAGAACTGACTAGAATGACTCACTCAGTCACATCCAAGAGGACCCAACAGTACTGTCAAGGAAACTACCCCTGGCTGGGGGGTCCTTGATCACCAAGGGCTCCTAGGAGTGGCTGACTGCTGAGAAAATGATCACCATGCTTCCCCAGGTGCCAGGCTCAGGTCTGAGGATGGGCAGTGTTACAGGTGGGTCACAGAGGCTGAGGACCCCCATTAACTTTCATTAGAGGTGACCAATCTTAATAAACTTTCACTCCCCAGGCAGATATTTCCACTTGAATGTCAAGCTAAAGGTCTTCAAATTAAAGGCTAGTATTATTGGTAGTTTATTTAAAAAAAAAAAAAACAGGCTAAGATCAAAAAAAATTCCGAGGGAGTGCTCAGTGTTTCCTGGGTTCAGTTCTTCTGGGCATCTAGTATATACTCTTACAGACATTGGGAACTATAACGCAACAAATGGAGAGACAGAAAACAATACCAGACAGCCCATACATGCAAAATTCCTTGAGGTTTCAGAGCGCTTGCTTTATTTTACATTTCCTAATGACAATATTTTAGATCAGACTATCTATTCTATTCAAAACTGTGGGTTCAAAACAATCAGCAGACATTGTTACATTTAAAAACCTTAGATTAGAAAAACTAGACTGTGGTATTAAATCTTCAGCAAATCACAATACTCCTGATTCTCAGTCTAATTAATGGCAAATTGTGGGCTCCAACCTCCAGATGCCAGCTTTAACATTCTCAGTTATGAGGAACCGAGAACAAGGGCAGAGTGCTCTGTGCTGCTCCACTGCAGCCAACTCACATTTTGTTCTCTGCCAGACAAAGGTGCTCCTTCAGAAGCTGGATCTCAGACTCCTTTTCTTGCAATGCTATCTGGGACTGGTACTCTTTGTCTCGGTTGGCCACCAGCAAAGCCTCGAGGTTCTGCATGGAGATCCTCTCGTTTGTCATCTGACTCCTGAGCAGCTCTATTTCAGAGCGCGCAGAATCCAGCTCATTCTCCATCTGTGCGACAGGAAGACAGGCTTACTTACTCCCGGCCTCTCACTCGGCTGACGTGTTATTAGGAACACGTGCATCGTTAAACCTCTCACTGTGAAGCTGTTTCTCCTTACCAGTCGCACACATCACAACACACATGTAGTGCTGCTTCTCCCACCTCAGGCCCTATCAGAAAACTCACGACTTTCAAAAGTTCTATCACTCTCAAACTGCAACCAATTTCCATCTCCAGGTTTGATACTTCTTACATAGCTCTGCATGCCTGACAAGGTGGTGCCTGTCACTCCTGCATTGTCTTGAACCAGATGAGTCTATCTAAACGCCTTTGACATATCCTTGGACTCTGGAGAGAAGGAGAATGAGGAGTAGACATACATTCCATCTCTCACATACACATGGGGAAAACTTGCCCCTTGGAAAGTATCATGAGCTCAAAATATTCTCAATATGATTTCTTATCTTAGGTTATGATAAACTTTATATGCATTTAAAAAGCTAGTTATAAAAGATAAACTTTAAAAGCTAATAAAAATGAATAATAATGAAATTACTAGGGTAGGGGCAGATACCTCAGTGGATAGAGAGGGAAAGAACTTTCTGAGTTAGATAAATGAACTCACATAAATTGAGGAGAAATAAAAAATAATAATAGAAAATTTTCAAAAGAAGAAACACAATTAAATAGCAAACACATGGGGAAAAAAAGAAACTGTTCTAGTTTTCTTTCTGTTGCTGTGATAAACACCAAGACCAAAAGCAACCTGGGGCGGATTCATTTGGCTGATACGTCCAGCTGATAGTGTTACCAAGGGAAGTCAGAGCAGAAACCATGGAGAAACACTGCTTACTGGTTCTCTCCTGCTCATGCTCAGCCAGCTTTCTATACAATTCAGGACCACCTACCCAGGAGTGTCACCACCCACAGTGGGCTGGGTCCTCCCACACCAATAATTAGTCAAGACAACCTCCCACAGGTAAGTCCACAGGCAAATATGATCTAGGCAATTCTTCAGTTGACAACCTCCCACAGGTAAGTCCACAGGCAAATCTGATCTAGGCAATTCTTCAGTTGAAGTGTTCTCTTCCCAGGTGACTCAAGGTTGTTCCAAGGTGACAATAAATCCTAATCACAAGTTTGAGCAGGAAGCAAAGACTATGTGGGCCATTTATGTGGTATTTTGGACTAAGAATCTGTGCAAGTGAAACCTTCTGTGCTTTACTGGGACAATAGATGCTGATGATCAGGGGATGAATATTATCTATGATTAACAACAGACCAGCATCATGAAAGTGGCATCTCCTGTGAACAGGAACTTATTTCTTCTGAGTCAGCACACAGAAGCTACAGTCAAAGGAGACCAAGGAAAACATCGCAAGCTGGCAGCTGAACTTGACAATGTGTGAGAGTCATTCACATGGTAGTGGTTTTGAAGGCATGAAGGTGCCATGGAGAGGAGCTGGGGCTTGGCGTGTCTCAAAGGGCTGGAGTTTCCCTCAGGGAGGCTAAAAGAGGCCATTGGTGAAGGTCTTGTAGTTTCACTTCCAATGAAGACCCCAGGACTGAAGGGGTCAGAGAGAGAAACTAAAGCTTGGAACAGTATGTTAGCATCAGAGTCCCCAGAGAGAGGCCACTACTGAAGGTGAAGCCAAAGTCACAATGGAAACCCTAAGACCATGAGACATCTGCTAAGGACAGTGTCAAATGTGTAGTAGAGCTATCCTGAGCCTTGCAAACAAACAATTTTCTTGAGTGCGGCCAAGCTGGAGACATTGGCTGTCCAAATTTTCTGGAGCCCAGAAAAGTGTGTGTAAGCCCCAGATGCAGAAAAGGGGGCTACAGGATTTGATTACATTGGTGACTTGGGGCTTCACTTTAATCTGATTACTCCTATGCCCTAATTCTTCTCTTTTGGAACAAGAAGTATTTAACCTGTTTTTAATTTTATAGGAGTCTATAGACAAAATATTTTTGGATTCTTAAAGAAACCTTAGGCTTTAAAAGTACTGAAAAATTTAAAGACTGTGGGACTTCTAAAAATTGGACTGTGTTTTATCTTATGCTACTAACACTAACATGCAATCTTGGCAACAAAGCAAGGAAAAGTTAGAGTTAAGTAGTGATGTGTTTGTGCTTAAGTTGACAAGGGCTGGATTGTGCTGGTTTGTTTTTATTGTCAACTTTACACAAACTAGAAACTACTGGGAAAAAAGGAACTTCATTTGAAGAATTGTCTCAATTGGATTGATCTACAACTAATCATATTGATGGATGATTGACCCATCTCAATGTAAGCAGTATCATCCCTAGGCAGGTGAGCATGGGCTATATTAGATGAGGGACTGGAGAGATGCCTCAGCAGTTAATAGCAAGGGCTGTTCTCCCAGAGGACCTGAGATTGGTTCCCATCATGCACATGGCAGCTCACAACTGTCTGTAACTCCAGTTCTAGGACATCCAACACCTTCTTCTGTCCCCCACAGGCATCAGGCATGAAAGTGGTATACAGACATACATGCAGACAAAACACCTGTCTTAGTTACTGTTCTACTGCTGTGAAGAGACACTATGACCAAGACAATTTATAAAAGAAAGCACTTAATTGGAGACTTGCTTACAGCTTCAGAGGATTAGTCTAAGATCGTCATGGTGGGTAGAATGGTGGCAGGTAGGCAGGCACCGAAGCAGAAACTGAGAACTTATTCTGATCTGAAAGCCCAACTCTGGTGACACACCTCCTCCAATAAGGTAACGTTTCCCAATCCTTCCTAAACAATCCATCAACTAGGAAACAAATATTCAAAATATATAGGCCTATGGGGGCCATTCTCATTCAAACCACAACACCCATACACACAAAATAAAAACAATTTAGAGAAAGAGAAAGGGAAAGAGAGAAGGAGGGAAGGAAGAAAGAAAAAGAAAATAAAGAAAGAAGGGAAGAAAGAGAAAGAAAGAAGGAAGGAAAAAGAAAAAAGAAGGAAGAAAAGAAGGGAGGGAGGGAGG